GGAGCGCCGCCTGGAGCGGGGGCCGTGGTGGGGACGGGGATGGCGGGGCTGTGCCCCGGGGTGGAGAAGGTGAGGGCGGCCGGCGTGCGGGGAGCGGGGGAGCTGCGGCGGTGGCTGTCGCCGGGAGAGCGGTGTGGAGCCGAAAGAGCTGATGCGATTCTTTGCTGTTTAGGAAATGCCAGCAGAAGCACTATTGTCGTTAAATGCGCGCTCAGAAAGACAAACAGAAAGGGTTTGCAGTTGCTACGGGGACGGTTTGCAGTTTGGGAAATACGCTTTGCCATGGGAGATTCATTCTCGGCCTTCTCAAAGGGCGCGTGTTTCTCTGTAACCAGAAGCGTGTCCCTGGGGAGAGGACCTTCCCTGGGCTGAAGCACAAGCAAGTTGTATTCTTGGTTGCGCAAGATTCATCTATAAAGATCTCACGCTTGAGAATATGCATTGGCCGTGTGGTTTGTATTTTGAATGACAAGAAAATCTTGCTCTAACGGTAACATGCGGAGTTAGTCCAAATATGCAAGAAGTGGTCTTCAGCCAGCCAGCAGCTGCCCTTGACCAGTAAGAATTCTTGCACTTTCCTGATGTTAGCACCCAGTATGCGCTGCCTAACGTTGCTCTGAGACTCCGTCACCTTGTGATGACCAGGATTTGACCTGAACTCTATGTTTCTAAAATTGCTTTTGACAGTTTTCTTCATTTGGGATCTCGCTCTTGCAAGGAGAGAAATAATGATAAAATAAAACGGACGTGCAATTATTTTTTTTTTAATTATGGTAGTATTCCTTTCCGCTTTGCCTAGTTAAGCCACGAATATGGTCTAAAGTCAGCAAGGTAAGAACAAAAAGGTTTTAGTTTGCTGTGTTGCCTGTGTTAGCTGCTCCTGCTTTCCAGGGAGAATTTATTGCAACTGAAGGAATGAGACGGTGTTTTTGAAGGATGTGAATGTAACACATATGCTACACAAATGTTGCAATTTTTTTTCCTGGCTTTTAATTTTAATATGATGTAGCACAAGGTGTTTACTACCACACCAGACATAAAGTAAAACTGGCTGTTGGTAGGCTTTATTTCATTTTCTGTAGTCTCTTTTGTGCCATCTTGAAGAACAATTAGAAATTAGAGTACAAACTGATGACCTGACTGTATGGTGTATTGCTTATAGTACACAGTAATTTCTTGCAAAGCAGTTAAGTGGGCAGGAGTCCAGCTTCTATTCCTGTGTACCAGTGTGAATCAATAAGGTCAATTAGATTAATTCTGAAATTGCCTTGCAAGATAAAGGATCTTGGCTAAACCTGGCAGGCTGCATTGGAAGATTTCCTGGAAAGATCAGTATATGGTATTTAAAGCTGGTCCGTGTGCAGGTATTATTTTTGGTTGTCAACAGTTCATTTAAATAAGTGTTATTTCTGACTTCAGAAAAATAATTTTGTACTTAACAGAATGGTAAGCAGTACAGCATGATTTTCATTGAAGATTAAAAATTAGTTTAGAAATTAAGGTATCAGTTTTCTTCGTGCACCTCTATCAGCAGCCTCTCTGCTTATTTCTAATATTGAAATTCAGATCTGAATAACCTTTAAAAATAGCTGCAGATGAAAGAGCTCGTTGTGTCAACTGTCATCTTTTAAAGCACCATGTTCAGTAGAGCTCTCCTGTATTTGCATCATTATTGACCTTGCACTGTTGTTAGTAATGATAAAATTCTTTGGAAAACTTCCTTAATGAAAACATGATGCAAGAGGGAATCTTGTGAAATTGGGACACCACTGGTGCTGCATCCTAAGAGCTGAGATCATGGTTTAATGGTAGATACGTTCTTGGCATTCCTTTTATACGGTATTTTTTTGTCTTAAGGCTCCTGTAAGAGCTTGTGAAGGATCTGATCTGGCATTTTTCAAAGTAAGTAAGTAAATGAGAGAGAGAGAGAGAGAGTGTGAGTGTGTGTGTGTGTGTGTGTGTAAACAGCTGTGTTGGAACAGGGAAGAGTCGAGTCTGCGATGGTAGGAACAAGTGAGGGGTGAGAGGTGTTCTTTTCAGTAATATTGCCGCAGAACCTTCTCGCCTGTCACGGTGTGGTCTCAAAATAAATGATTATATATATTTAAAGATGTGAGAGAATACAAATGAGCACTTCTGAGATTTTTCCAAATCTGATTTTCCTAAGGAAGATTACATTTCATGTTTCTGTATCCGAAGGGGTGTCAGAAAACATTTTCCCGTGATGGTCCTACTGCTCAGGCATGCCTAAGCATGCTAAACTGGAGACAATCAAGGGAGGCGTGTGTTTTTAGAGCACTTAGTCACCCTCCTGTGATGGCTTTTTATGTGGAGGGGTAAAATGACACATTTGTCTCTTTGCCACTAATGATAGTTTTTTGTAGCTAAATTTTAAATTGTGCTTTGGGAGGTGTTCCATAGCCAAGGCGTTTAATGTTGGAATCTAAGTTTAAAGAAATGAGTGTGAAAAACTAAACCACTAAAATCTTCCTCAGTCTTCTATTTGTAAGTTACTGAATTGCTAGCTGTAGGCTGTCTGATTTCGACAGCAGTGTATGCCAAAGAGATTCTGCTAAGGTTGCCAATATTATTCTTAGGTATTGAGTTGTGAGCCCAGGCAATAAACGTTGATGTGCTCTGGGCAAGTGCGGTGAACACAAATGTGTCCGTGTGATGGGAGTTTCTCCCATCTGTCATATTTTCTCTTCAGCTAAGCTCTGTCTCTTTGTAGGGGCTGCGTACCACTGTTGGGCTGCTATGGCTAGTAAAAATTCTCATGTGCTTGCTATGTAACCGTATGATCATCTTATGTTAGTCATAGATGAACTTTAAGCAGGTGTTTAGCTGATGTTTAACTGGTGATTTTTCGACTCCTAAATAGATAGGTCGGAATAACTGGCATTCCTAGACTAAAGCTCTTGCTTTGTCATCATGAAGCTCATGACTCCCCACCCTGCCAGAGCAGGCAATCTGGCTCACGTGTTGTCCGCTTAGGTAGCAATTCTTGTGTTGCAGTTAGAACAAAATGATTAAATAGATCTGGAACCTCAAACATGAGTGTTTGGCATTGGTTACTATATGCTAAGGGGATTAAGCTCACTTGATTTGTATTCATTTCTGGTGTGTAGGTCCGTGCCATGTAGGATTCAGCATTAACTGCTGCGTCTGTTTTTTTTATGCCTTTAGTTTTTAGCCATTGTATTATGCGGTGCTCTTCATAAATGTAAAATTTAGCTTGTGCTTGGAATTTTTCTTTATCAGTTTTGTTTTACAGTTAGCATTCTGCTCAAGAGCAGTTGTATTATTGAGGCTGAATATATTTTTCAAATCGGGTAATTTGTTACTGGAACAGTCTGTGTTTAAGTAAGAGTAGGTAAGTTAAAGTCTTCTAGCCAACTACTCCCCCCCAAAACAAAACAAAAACCAACAAAGCCCTGTAACATTTGCTTCCTTAAATAATAATTGGCAGCACTTCAGGAGTATGCTAATGCATAAGGTAATATTAAATAGTGGAATTATTTTACGATTCTAAAGCTAAATTTCTTGGTTTAGTCTAAGGGAAAGACCACCTTGTATGAAGCTTGCAATAACCTTTTTGGAGAAAATGTGGAACCTGGTAGGTTCTGTTGATTAAACGTTTCTGTGGCTTTTAGATCAGTGGAAGGGTGACTCTTCGTCTGGCCACAAGGCTATTGCTTTCCTTATAGCTTATATAGTCCTGGGTGGACTTCTGTTTCTGCAAATACAGATAAAGTGGTACATTCTCTGATTAACTGAGGAAATGCTAAATAATGTAATATCACTGCTGTCTGTCTGTGTAAAATGTGAAGCTCCCTTGGCTTAATTACAGCAGTGAATCAGTTCTGTTTTGTGATTCACTTTAGGATGACAAAAGCAGTATTAATAACCGGCTTGTTCAGTGCTATTTATTTTACTGCGGGAAGTTATTTGTTGGTTGGTATTGTTTATGCAACAGTTTCGCTAATAATCACAGCAGCTCACTGAGCAGAGGTGAGGTGGAAGTTATTTGGTTTTGTTGAAGTGTTGTGGGTTGCAATAAGAGGAAGAATGATTTTACAGTAACTTGTAACAAGAGCAAACAGTTAATGGGACAGTGATTGAACAAGACTGGTAGTCTCTTGAGAAAATATATGTATGTATATGAATAAGAATACATTTATAGATAATTGAGTTTATTTAGCTATTGTGAATTGCTAGGGAAGTTAAGTTGCATTGATAATTTGTCATGACTTAACTAAAGTATGTATAGAACAGTGTTTAGTAGCTGTACTTTGAACATGCCTGTGTGTCATAACAATGTTCTTTGTGCATAGTATGTAGTAGAGGTCAAAAGAAGTTCTAAACGTTCTTTTTCTGTGGCCAAACAGAACTAATTGTTTTTAGAAAATAAGAAAATTTAACCTTGTTTTCTTATTTCAGTAAAAAATCCCAGAAATGGGATGAAATGAACATCATAGCTACGTACCACCCAGCAGGCAAAGATTATGGCTTGATGAAAATAGATGAGCCAAGTACTCCTTATCACAGGTAGGCTTGCTAAACTGCTGTCCAAAATGATGCTAGGTGACATAGTAGTTTTACAGCAAAATTGACTTTGTAGATGTTGTAGTATTTACTACAGCTGATTGCCTGACAGACTGTGCAGGCCTACTGGATATATGCAACCTATTCAGATTTACAAAGCTTCTAAATAAATGCTTATAGCTATCGAGGAGAACTGTGAAAAAGGACAAAGTGAATTTTTAGAAGGCCTATGTCTTAACAGGCTTTAGGCTTTGAATGGAATAAATAAGTCTGACTTGCATTGATTTTATTGTTTTTCAGTTAGCATCTGTGTACTAGAATATACAGTTGTCATTCATATCAATGTTTAAATTAGAGTTGGAAAGTTTTTAAAGTATTAAAGGTGTCTTTTAATTGAATTTTGTAAGGTTTTGACTGTTTTATCAAGCAAATTTTAAGCAGCAAATTATTGATAAAGGCTACCTTCTTTGTTTGCCTTCCAAGCATGGTAGGAGAAGATGATGAGGATGCAGTGAGTGATTCAGAATCTAATGAGCCCTTAAAAGCAGATGTGTTGAGTAAAAAGTAAGTATTGTCATGGAAAATTGACTAAATGTTAAGATAATTTTCTCTTTCCTGGAGTAGTTTTTCTTTATGGAAAGGTGTTGCTGGTTTCTCTAGCAGTCAAACTTCTGCTATTGTCAAATTAAGTACTTTTCGGTGTTTGGTAGTGCCATTGGTACTTCAAACCTCTTGCAAGTTGTTAGTACACATAAATATGGCAAAAATAATGAAAAAAGCAGTTTGTATGAGTGTTCTCAAATGTCATGTATTTCAAGTAGCAAAAACTTGCTGCTTCAGCATTTTGTATTGCATGTTTTATGTAGACTGGCAGCTGCAGCTGAAGGTAAAGGACCCAAGATTATAGCAAAGCAAGAAGAAAGCAGTGAGGAGGAGGAAGAGGATGAAGAATTAACACCTGAAGAACGAGGTAGGCATAAGTTGTTTTCTTTGTTTTGTTTTTTTTTCCTGCAAATAGTTTCAGATTTTCAGTAAGAAATAGTTGGGAAGAAGAAGTACTGTCCAACAGAAAAATGTTATCATTTGAAAATGGAGATAAATACTCTTCGAAGGGTGAGTAAAAGATTGAACAAATATGCTGTTTGTTTGTAATCGGGACTGTTTGGTTTGGGATCTACATATAAACAGGAATTCGCTGTTACTGGTTCCCCCCTTGTATACAAGCTTAAGGTGTGGGAATTCCTCTTAAACCTAGACTTCTCAAGTAAGATACTCTTCTGGGTTTGGAGTGAGGGAGTACTTCTTAATCTGAACATATTTCAGGTAGAGTTAACAATTCAATGAGTACCGCTGCAATTAAGATGCTACTAATTGCTTGCAGGCATACAGATGATATTTCTGTTGTTTTCAAAGCAACTGGTAGATGGATCCAGCAGGAAATCTACAATTTATTCCTAAGCAAATTGCCTCATGCATCTTCAACAGAGATGTTGTTTTGTGTTAGCTTGGGCTAGAACATTTTGAGGAAGCAGTCAAACAATGATACTTCTAAGGTTTCAGGCTTGTGTTATCTAGCTGTTGCGTCTCATCTTTCCTGGCCCCAACTTTGAGCGTGTAACCTTACTATTCTAGAGGAAGAAAAAAACAGTGTTGGGGCTGCCAATAAGCAAAGTTTAATTTAATTATAATGCGTTACTGCTAGACCTGCTAATGTTCAATATATGGAGCAAAGTTAGGCTTCAGGCTGTGGGGAAAGTGGAAAATATTTTCTTCTACATGTGGTAAATATATCTCTCATAACTGGCCTTTGGTAGCTAGCCAGGAGTCAAGTCAAACATCTGCAAAAGTTCGTCTTCTATCCCACCAGTACATCTCAATTTGTCCTTAAGTTTACTTAGAAACAAGGCTTGCGAAACTTTGGAATTTCGTATGCTGTTACTAGATGCTTCTTTTGGTTCAGACTTGCTCTTACTTGCAGACAGGTTCTTTTAAAAGTTCTTCAGCCATTCCAGTCCATTACTTACTAGCCTTTTTGTAAGTCAGGCTCATTTAAAAGAACACTCGATTGCTTGAAGAAAATAATTTTAATTCAGTGATTGCTTGACCATATAATCAATGGACTTTCAAGGTAGGAATAAATTTGACCTAGGAAGCAACTAGTTCCTCTCTGAAGAGGAAATAAGTTGATTTTTTTTTAAAAAAAGGGAAGAAATGAGTATTTGCATTTGTTTGTCCACAGAGAAAAAGAAACAGTTTGAAATGAAGAGAAAAATGCACTACAATGAAGGACGAAACATCAAACTGGCAAGACAGCTCATTGCAAAAGAACTACATGGTGAAGACGAGGATGATGATGAAGAGATGCATGATGCTGCAGATGTAGAAACAATGAATACAGAAGCTACTGAACATGGTGAGCTACTGATTACTCAAAAAGCATGTTTAAGTACTGGTGGTCCTTTCAGCTGTTGGGAAATTAATACACTCAAGTATGAGAATGAATAGAAAGGGTACAGTACGTATGTAACGCTCAATATGCAATACTGCATGCTGTCTTGAGAGGTAGATTTGTAGCATGGTACCAAAGCCATCAGTATTGCTAATTAAGCGTGTGGGCTTTTGCTTGTGGTGACATAGCAGAAAAGCAAACACCTCTGCTTTGTACTGTTTCCCCAGAATAACTGACTTTTGGTAGCGAAGTTGCCAGCATCCTTTTTAAAGGAAGAGCTGTCTTGTACAGAACACTTAAAGCTGTGGCCACACGGGAGAGCCTGGCCTTATGTTGTGGTTCAGTTCCCATTCTGCTCCCAAACCATCCTGTAGCCAGCAATGGGAAACTAGCATGAATGTTTCCTCCCTGGTGAGAGGAGTGTATCTAACTTCCTAAGTAAGAACTGTAATTTAAAACTGCTGTCAGGACTTCAGTATGCACTTGTCCTTAAGCAGTAATGTTCAGTTCTATAGTATGGGATAAAACCCTCAGCTCTGCTTTGAGTGCAGCTACTGAAAGAAAGTCTGGGACTTTTAGCTGGGAGCGGTTTCTGGAACCTGCTTCAGGGCTGTCTTTTGATAGAAAGCTCATAAAACTGTAGAGGCTGACACCTTCTCTTTCATCTTTAAGCTTCTCTCTGGGTGAAAAGGGTATACTGTATAATAAAAGTCTTTGATTTTTGTGGTGGCCTTCTGGTGAATAATTACAGCTGTTCGCTACCCACCTCTGTGTGTAACGGCACTTAGAACAAGTTTTTTGGCATGAAAGAAAAAAGACATCTGTTGCTCATGAGACTAGTGGCAATAAAGTCTGTAAGCCTCATTCATCTGTTGCTTGGCAAAGCTATGAGACGTTAGCACAATCTGCAGACTTGGGAAGATGCTGCATGGGTTTAACTTGGTTCACATTTGCTTTTCACAACCACGTGAACTAGGAACTCTTCTAAAATTAGTTTAAATTCCACATAATAAAAAGGTGATTTGCGAAGTTCCATGTTTTTAAGTTCTGCGGATTGCACATTTTAGTCCCATTATTTATTACAGGAGGACTAATGCCTTCATAATTGCTCCGAAAGGGTCATTTGGTATGTGTCTGAGACCCATTAATGGACTGACTTTATCCAGTAACTTACCATACGCCTTATAATGGCTATTTACTAGAACTTCACTCTCCAGGGGAAAGGAGGGCTCCAATAGGCAACATTATGACCTTTCTTCATGGCTTGAAGCTGCCATCTCTCTGCACTCTGCTGTAAAACAGAGGCAACTCCGCTCCCCAGCTGCATTCTCCAGTGGAAAGAAGGCACACCTTTGCAGCATTTTTCCATCTCTATTGTTGAAGTCCATTCCACCTTGCCTCATAACCAGCTTCAGAGCCACAACTGGTAATTATCAATTTTAGACTGCTCATGGCCAATAGATTACATAAATGTAACTGTTTGCCAGTTTATCAACCCATTAACTAACCGGTTCACCTCCACACCACAGCATATAGAAATACTTTCCATTAACTTGATGTAGTTCTCAATTCTTCATTTTTGTTTTGTATCATTCTGCTTAACAAACCTTGATGTTTCATTCTCTCCTAATCTCTGCATCAACTGTCATAGCTTTTGGTCTCTGTACTTGATCAGCTCTTCTGAGGTTAAGCACTGGTCTCACTTTTGTAGCAGCTGGTGAATTGAATGCCCTCGAACTGATCACGTGTGATTCTTTGTGGCAGGGTTGGTCAAAGGATGATGGAATATGGACAAAACTGTTAATAAACCTCTCTGTCTTCTGCCACTGCCCGTGTTTTAAGATATTCCTACATTGAGATGATAAGTGTTTAGCAACATAGCTGTGTTAAAGTAATGTCAAAGTTTTACTGAAGTAACTTTTTTGAGATGACATCTCTATCACTCTCTCATCTGTATTCTGAGGGCACAAAAGAATCTCCTTATTCATAAATGTTAATTAAACAGATATTGGAGCTGCAGAACATATCTCAGATAGGTGGTTTTAACACTCCCTACTAGGGGTTTTTTGCTAGTCTGTGCTCTTGGTCATGCCATGCTTTTGGTCATATAAAGCAATTGGGTATTTAAAACAGTATTTCAATTTGGTTGTTTCCTTCATGGAAGTGGATCAAAATGCTACTAATATTCTTGTTCCTGAGATTTCCCTGTTAGGACTGTAAGTGCGTGGAAAGATTATTCCTCTGGATAGCTTTTGAAGAGCTCTTCGACTTCAAATTGTTGTATTTTAAAGTGCTTTCTTATAGAGTAGAAAAGGAGGGTTTTCTTTACTCAGTGTACTGGGTGATGCAGGAGCTGATTTTTGTGATGGCTTATTTTGGCTTCACTCTGTTAAACTGACTAACAGCTCTGACGCTTGCTTTTAACTGCAAAGGAAATGTCTGTCCTTTTCTGCATGTTGTATTGTAGCTACATTTTGATAACTTCTTCCATTTGACTTCAGTCCCTCTGAAGTTACGGAGATCATCTGGTGATGTGGCTACCGCTCACCTATTATGTCTGAGACTGTCTGTCTATGTAAGTGAGAGCTGGCATGCAGTCTTTTTATTCCAGTGTAATAACATGACTTCTGTAGTACTGGTGATCATTCCAGGTAAAGATGTGACGTAAGAGGCATTTCTTAGTGGTCTGCTGTCACTCTAGGGCTGCACTGGCTCCTGGGTTGTTTTTCAGGCAATTTGAGACCCTCTTCTCACTTGGAATTTTTTTTGTCCATGAAGATCCCTTAAAGGTTCTGTGCTTCTCTTATCCGATGCTCCTTTCTACCCTCTAATGCTGTCTGTTTTGTATTTGAGTAAAACTAACAGTACTCTTCTAATCTCTACACACTGCTTTTGAAGAAGGAGCTAAAGACTTAGGACAGGTTTTTAAGAAGGCTTCTGTCAGATACCACCAGGTCTGCTAATATGAGTTGCGCTTCTTGGTTACAGACTGAGATTTCTTGCCGATTGAAATGAAGATGGCCAGTCCAGTCAGTGATGGTGAGAACTGTTTGTATATTTTTGCCCCTGTCTTCATTGTGGGCTACCAAGTGTTTTAAGTGGATGGGTCATTCCTTTCTTGCCTCAAGTAGCTGTGACTTATCCCATGCATGTGGATTCTAGCGGCCAAGCTTTTGAAAAGAAAGTTCAAGTTGTAATAGACTGCATTAGGATTGCTTGCTTCAGCATTTCAGCTTCTCTGGAATTTCTCTGGCTACTCCCTATTTATGACTCCATGAGTGACGTAAATAGACTTCGCCAGCAAAGTAGTGACCTTTGTTCCTCTCCACAAACACTTTTCCTTTAAAAATTCTCTTTGAAATCACTGAAGGAAAGATTCCTGATGTAGGTAGATTTAAGCGTGATGATTTCAATGCAGACCTGTCTTCTGCTACACAAAAGTATCACATACAAGGGTGTGATCTATAGCAGTTCAATCGACAAGCAGTTCTCTCCCTATGGTTCATTTAGCATTCATTGCTATGATAACCCTGCTCAGAGACTGCTGATGAGCTGAGCTGTCAGCTGACTGGGTATGCTCTTTGGCCTTTGGTAGATACAGAATACATGGTGTTTTCTTAACCACAGTGAGCATCATCCTAGAGATGACTGAAGTGAGAAGGCTGGGAGCATACACAAATTGGTTCTGCTTGTTAGCTATGCTTTTCACTTGTTAAACTGCACTTGTTACCAAGTCTAACTTGTGCTGAAGCCTAACTGGCCTTTTTTTAAAGAAGATTATCATCTGGATGTGGTTTTCTCTGATCTTTGCTTTATGCCACTGAATTTTCAGGTGTGCATATATATATATATATATACACACACATTCATATATATACACACACATTCATATATATATAGTGAGCTTTTTCATATGAAAAGTACTAATGAGAAGGAGCTTTCTCTGATTTATTGCTGTTCTTTGGCTCAAAACCATCAGTTTAACGACTTCCTGAAAAACACAACAGACTATGCTCCTTCATTTATAAGCTTGTTTTGTTTTAACATGTCTTATGTGGAATTGAAATTTGACCTGAAAAGTACTATGCTTGCTTGTGTTTCAGGAACCTCATGTGTTAGTTCTGCAAATTGATCTCTCTCTCAACTCCTGGGTTAAATCCTCCCAGTTCCAGGGGTGGTGAGCATTCAGTGCTCGGTATGCTGCACAAGGGTGTTAGCCACTTCTTCAGAACATCAGGGTGAAATAACTGTTTTGGAAGTTTCTGCACTCTAAAACTGAAAGCTTGTAGGTTGCTAAAGTGGGTTGGCAAACATTACTTTTGGAGAAGCAAAGATGATTTCAGGAGGATTTTTGTGTGTGTTTTGGAAATATTCAACGAGTGTGAAGAATTATCTGTTTTTTGTAATCTTTCTTATGCAGCACATGCTACTCGTGACCAGCTGGAAAGTAGAGCACACAGCATAGAAGAAATCTGTCCAGAACTGTAACTGCTTGTCAAAGACACAAATATAAACATCGCTTCATGATTTTTTGCAATTAAGGCTCTTAAATATTGAGAAGCATATCAGTTACAATGTTGTATTGCCAAGAATGTTAATTTTAGACTTGTCCATTAGGCAGAAAAACCTGTCTAATTGATTTATTCTTGTGCCTAGTATTTCATGGAGAATACTGCTTCATAATCTGTTCAACCAGAATGGCATTCCCTCTATGTATAACGCTGATTATCTTGCATAATGTACTGTTACTCTTCATGCTTCGAAACAGACGGTATCTTTTGTTTTTTCACTATTTATTTGACAGTGTTCTAGGTGTGGTATCTCTAACGGAAAGGTTTGGGATTCAAGAGCCAAACGGTACAGCATATATCAGATTGACATGCAAGCTATTTATCAGATGTGTTAAGCAGTTTAAAAAGGGATTATTTAAGTCTTACAACTTTTTTTGTAAAATGTTGACCTGTTAATCTAGATTTCAGTATGTTATTACCTGTACTTTCCCAGTCTTTACAAGAAGAGCTGTATTAAGAGTGGTGTTTGGAGTCAGTTGTTAGCTTCTGACTAGGGCAGTACTAATGTCTGGTGGAGGGCATGTTTTTACACTGGAAATGTGCTAACTTGAACTTTGCATTTAACTGTCATTATCTCTTCCATCGGGACTGGATGTTTTGTGGAGCTCTTTGGCTTATTGTGAGAACATGGAAGTTCCCTCCAACTTTTCTCTTAAAACCACATCCACTGTCACTCTTCTGGCTCTTGTTTCAAATCTTTGGTCCTTTCCAGTTGCATGAAGAGTGCTTGTGCTACTAGCGCCTGAGGAAAAACACCCAACCGTGAGCAAATCCACATCAGGACTGTGAAGATGAGCTGAGTTTAGGCTCTGGCTGTTCTTTATATAAAGATAACTGCTGATGGTCTCCTACTCATTTGGGGTTGGTAGCCTGCATACTGAAAACCACTGGTCTAAATCTTCCTGTATCCATTGCAACTTACAGCAGCTCCTTTTCGTAAAATGAAGGCTGTTTGGAAGAATAGAAGGGAAACTGCCTAATTCAAATACTTGTTTACAGTGTGGTTGTATAGCCCCTGTAAAGAGGGATTCTGAACCTCCAAATTGCTGTCAACAACTTCCCACTCGGTGGAATCTGACTGGTGAATGTTCCATTATTCAGAGTAGTTCCTGGGTTTTATTACACAAATGAAGTATACACTTAAGCTTTAGCTTGGTTATGGAATACAGTGTATATCTTAACTTTGATCTGAATTTGATATGTTGCAAAAATCCATATAATTATATGGATCTATTTTAAAATGTCTTTTTGTCCACTGTATATGTGAAGTTTGAATAAAGGAATGAAAGTTATTTTACAGTTATATGCATTCTCAAGTGTGAGCTTTCATGACATCTCAGAGAGACTGAGAGTGAATAAGGCAAAAGGATGCTGTCCTTTGAAAGATTTATACAGGAATAATTCAGTAGAATGGATGCATTGCCAAAGATACCTGTGAGTTGTGCTAATTGGGTGTTGCAGTGTGCCTTTCCTAACTGTCTGTTCTCCTTAGGAGGTAACAGGGTTGTCAGTTGTGGGATATTTAGTCTTCTAAGGGCCTGAATCAGGGTTAAAAGCAACTTTTCACAGGAAAGAGTTGAAGTCTTGATTCAGTTCAGTGTGGTGATGCTAATTTTTCAATATGGAGAATGCTGTTTCTTCTTGTATCTAACATGGTCACTTCTATAGAATAAACAGGGGCACAGAGTAAGCACTTAGATACTTATGACTTCTAAAGTCACTTACTGTAGCTTTAAATTTGGCTCCCAAGAATAAGGTTTCAAAACTTAAGTTTGCACCTTTTCTGTACCAGCTTGCAGTGTTCAGATTGTTGGAATGTCCGCACCGACCTTGTGTTTCCAACTGCCCAGCCGGTGGCCTGGGCTGCCCCAGCTAGGGCAGCTAAGTCCTACTGAGAGCGTGGCAGCACTCGGCAACAGTGCATTACTTCCAGACTGGAGCATGAATGGGTCCAGACTTGACCAATGTGTATGGGTAGCACAGAGGCCTTCTGCGATGCTGTAAAACAGATCACTTGTACTTTGTGGTTAAGTACAAGTGGGTACTTTGTACCTGCAATCACAGAATCATAGAATCGTTAAGGTTGGAACAGACCTTTAGGATCATCAAGTCCAACTGTTAACCTAGCACTGCCAAGTCCACCACTAAACCATGTCCCTACGCACCTCATCTACACATCTTTTAAATACCTCCAGGGATGGGGACTCCATCAGAAGCAGCTCTTGTTTGAGCTAATGTCCTGCACTCCTTCCACCCACGCTTTCTGCATCCAAGATCTCGTTTTCATTTTGGTGCTCAGTGGGGTTACTTTGTACCTACAATGCCTACAAAGCGTTCTGTTTAACAAACAAAAAAAACTTTGCTAACTTCCAGTGAAGACCTTTCCTGTAATGGCTTCCAAAATCCTGGATGACATGGGTATGAAGCTTTGAGGGAGGTACAGTATATGTAAATGCATGAAGATGCTTTTAAATGAACCTCAGAATGTATAGTAGGTCTCTTCATCGGTCAGATGAGTTTGAGCTGTCTGGGTGATCTCCCTTTTTCCGTGCCACCAAGCCCCCAAGTTTTAGTTAGATGCCATTTTGGAACTTGTACTGGTTTCAGTTATGGATTTTATTAAAGTCTTTGTTCTTCTCTTAATTCTCTTCAGTGCTAGCAAAAATTCTGTTCGTGCTCCTTCACCTCACTCCCCTGGAGTGCAACCCGATGTACCTGACACTGCTTTTAACTGAAAGGCTGGTTTACTTGATTTTATCCAGGCTTACACCTTCATGCATTTTAAAAGCTAAAATAGGCAAGTTTGCTTTCCAGTAACTTACGGATACTCTATATAGCTTTTTTTAAAAAGGGATGTCTGGTTTGTTTCTATTCTGGAAATATCAATCATAGGTCCCTGCTGAATGGGGACAAGAGAAGAAATGCCTTTCCTCTTTTTACATTTGATGGGGACTTAGCTTGCACGCACATCTTAATCTTGGGGTGCACATGATAAAGGCTCATTCGTGCAGTAGAGAGTGGTGTAAAGAGGAAACAAAAGACACGCAGCCCTTACTAACGTGGACATCGAGCTCCACAGCATCATAATTGTGAAGCTTCTTGCACAGGTTTAAATCCTCAAGCTGCATCCTGTTTAGAGAAAATATTTTCAATATGCTTCCAATAGGAAGATCACTTGCAAATAAGAGCCTTAACGCCATCTTTAAAGGTTTTTTTTTTCTGTCCTTAAAGTTTCTTTCTCACTGAGTTGTACACAGTTCATGGAAACTGCAAGTATTTTTTCCACAGCTCGCTCTCTCGTGTTAAACTTGTGTATCTTACCAGAACTCTTTGTTTCTGTAACATGCTTTTTGTGGTGTTTATGATGATACCACCTCACAAATGTAATTATTCTGTTTTAAACCAGTGTTAAGTGTCACAACGTAAATAAAACCATTGTTTTCATTACTGCATTATGGCACTAATAGTAGATGTATTGGTTTGCCTTCTTGGAGCTTTTTAGAAGAAACTGGCAGCTACTGTAAAGTTTGCAGGTGTGTTTGTAGATGAATACTTAAACCAATATTGCAATTTCCTCGTCACTGCAAACGAGGAAGTACTCCTTAGTGTAACTTTGATAGACACCCGTTTGTACATGCTTCCAGATTTTGTGGTTGCTTGGCTACCTGGACACGAAGGTAGATGTGGGAACCCGAATCATGAATTTAAGATAGCAGCACCACAGAAAAGGTTGCATTTTTCAAGGTAATTTTCTGTGTGTGTTGTCGGATTAAAGCAAGACTGGTCTGTCTCTTCATGGTCAGCATTGAGTAATCGCTCACTAGCCTTGAGTAATGGGAAATGACTAACACCAACTGCTCCTTAGGAAGTAAAACTGTATTCCAGAAAAAAGAGCTGGGCTCTCTTTTCAATTGCACACTTCCAACTGAAAAGTGGATTTCACAACATAAATGCAGGCGAAGTGATACAAAAATTTCTTAACTTGCTGCTTTTTCTATGCGGGTGTGATGGATGCACTTGACTTCTGAACCAAACTAACGGTAGTTTGGTTAGTTTTGGTGAGCGACAGCTCACAAAAATAAACCATCGTCATATCTGCGTGACTCGTAGTTTGGATCTGACATTTCACCAGTCTTAAAAAAAAAAAAACAACCCCAAAACCCTAAACCACAACTGACTGAACCAAAAAGCTTCCCCTTGCTTCTGCGGAGGGGGACTTTAACCCGGGGCGGGGCAGTAAGGGTACAGCAGGCATTCAGCTTCTTGGGAAGGAAAGAAGTCTTGTGTTCCCCTCCATCCCCCGTGCCGACTGCGTCTCCTTGCGAGACCACAGGGCAGTCGGGGGAGAGCGAACGGGTGGGATAAGGGAAAGGGATAAAGAAACAGGGGTGAAGCTTGGTGCCGGTGACGGGGCGCTGGAGGGACGCGGGCCTGAAGACTGCAGGGGGTGAGCAGGCTCGCTGGGAGCAGCTACGGCGGCTCCTCAGACTCCTGGAGGAGCCGAGAGTGGACGTCATCAGCTGACGTCATCCTCCCTGCACGGCGTCCCTGCGACTTGGGGTGACATTGCTTCCTCTTCGCCAGGTTTAACTTGAAGAGAGCGGTAACTTGTGCTGCCCTGTCACTGCCCGTGAGGGGGAGCCGGGGCGGCTGCCGCGCCTTTGCCCCTGCCACGGCCGCACCTGGGAACGCCGAGCAGCGCCACGCTTCTCAAAGCCCTCCTAAGGCATCAGAAACCGACAGCGTTCGGCAGCGCTTCGCTGCAAAGCGGGAGAGGACCGGCACGGTCCCTCTCGCTCTGACACAGCCCTTCTGCCGCCTGAAGCGCCTGCCAAAGGCCTCCTCGGGCGGAGGCTCCCCGGCACGGCCGCCCTTCTCCGCCCGGGGGAGCTCTGAGCCTCTCTCTGAGCGGAGAGCGCCCGGAGCTGGAACTCCTCCGCGGGGCCTC